AGACTGACAGCCGACAGATTCCCTAATGGAATGGGAAGTCTCCAAGTCCCCTTCTTGTCCATAGTCCTGGTTTCTTTCAGGATGGAGAATTCCAGTCCCTCCCTGGGCTGACCCTGCAGGCTGACCCTGCTCAGGATAGAGAACCCCACTGTCTGAGAGGAAGGTGGCCTGGCATAGCCTGGTGGGACCAGGCCCTGGTGGTCCCTTCCCTCTCTTCCCTCTCCTCTTTTTCCTTCACCCTGTCCCTTCCCACACCCACCACTGGCCCCTAAGCCCTCCTGCCTCCTCACACACCTGGCCTGGTCTCCCCACTAGGCAGTCAGCCTCTTGACAATGGGACCAGACCAGACAAAGGGGAGCAGCAGAGGTGAAGGGGCTTCCTCCTGCCTCTGAGGTCCTGCCTCACCCAGGTGTGAAGGTGCTGCCACCGGATGTGGGTGCACTCTCTGGCCACCTGGACCCGTGAGAATGTGGGCATGCTGAAGTCCTGGGCCCCTTCCTGCCTTAACCACAGCCTCAGCCCAGCTGAGAAGGGTGGCCTCAAGGCAGATAGACATCCTGCGGGATGGAGCTCTGACATTTGGCTGCAGTTCTGAGGTCTGGTGAGCGGGTGGGTGGGTGGGTGGGTGGGGGTAGAGGCAGGACTGGGCCTGCTCCTCCTCGGGGGGCTTTTGGAACTTCTGGAAAGCCAGTACCACTCCCATGGGCCTTCCCTGCCATATCCAAGGCCACTCAGACTCCCCCGTTTCCCTGTGTCAGCCCGACTTAGGTGCCCCCAGCCCCAGCCAGCACTACATTCAGCCAGGAGCCCTGGGCCGTGGACCCTGCTTGTCTGTGAGGCTCTCTCCAGCCTGCTTGACTGACCCCTTGTTCTCTAGGCTGCCCATGTCCCGTCCCCACGTGGGGTCCACTGTGCCTTCAGTCTCACCTTAGGCCTCCTGCCCTGCGCACCCTAACCACCTCCCTCCCACCCCAATGAAGCACCTGCTTGTCCCCTAAGGTACTCTGAGTCCCCATTCTTCCCTAACCCACAACCTCCACTGCGTCACTGTTATCGGGAAATATTAAGTGAGGACTTTATCTTGTCTTCTTAGTTCATGCTTTCCATCTATTACACATTCTGTGCACTTATTTTCTCCCCCTTTGCAGCTTTTCACTCGATAGCTCTTTATTCTGGTTTAAAACAGTGTGTATACTGTTTTGAGTCTTACTGTGGTTTTGCTGTACCCACATGCGAGTCTGATGACCTGAATTTGATTTCTCAACCTGATCTTCGTCTACATCTCCCTTCTGACAGAGAAACGATTCCCAATGTTCGCATGTCCCTTTGGGCACCATTTCCATCCTTCCCACTGTACTGGAATTACCTAGAATATTCTAGTTCTAATTGTTCTGTGGACACCTTTAGTTTTAACACAAACTCTACCCGGTTGTTTTGATCCCTTCTTTTCTCTCTTGTAAGGACGACTCTCCTGATTTTGAGTCTCTTCTGAACTGAATGCCTCCTCCAAGAGTGATCTCAAAGTCCGTTCTTCGGGGTGAATCTTAAGAGCCTGAGAATGTCTTTTTTATGCCCTTGCATTATGTTTTGCTAGGATACTGGGAGCTTTGTTTCCAATAATTCAAATGCCGTAAGGATCACCCATAGTGGATAGGTTTCAGCAGAGCTTTCAGATGTAGACAGACCAGGAAAAAAAGGTTAAAGATCTACAGAGAAAGATGTACCTCAGAGAGGCTCAGTCTAGGAGGCAGGCAGTGTGGAGCTGAGGGGCTTTGTCGTGAGAGGAAGACAACATTTATAGCCCATGCCTAAGACCAGTAGATGCTGGGGGTTGGGGGTAGCCAGGTGCTCTCTAAGCCAGGGTCGGGAGTGGGGTACACAGGATGAAGAACTCAGTCCTGCCCTGCCATCCTCATCACCAGGGTGAGAACGAAAAAGCAGAGAGATGATGTCAGGGCCTTGTAGCTGGTTTTGAGCCTTAGGACAGACACGGAGAGAAGGGTCCAGGCAGCATGGCCTCGTGAGTGCAAAAACATGACACCAACCATGCCGCCCACGGCTCCCTTAGCTTCTCATCTGGGTTCAGTCAGCCACTGAAAGGCCACAGTGACTCAGACAATGCTAAACGGTATGGGTTTATTAGGGAAGTTAACAGATTAGAACTCAGAAGCAGAAAAGGCTTAGGGCACAGTTCTTCTTCCAATCAGTTGCTGATAAATGATAAAGGACACACTGCTCCACCCTAAACCTCAGCCTGGAGGCCCTGGGCTCTAGTTCTGTGGGTCAGCAAACCTAGGGCACCCACATAAGTGCCTGGAGCCACCCCACTGTACAAACGAGCTTCCTGCCCAGAGCACTCAGCTTTCCTTGCTCCACGGGCTGGGAAGGCCACTGTCTGTCGTGGGCTCTGGTTCTGGCCCTCCTCCTCCGGGGTCACAACTTTCTGTCCCTGGGAGAGGACATTGAGTGTGTCAGAATCTTGGGGTCAGAGGCTGCACTTGCTTCCTGGCTCTTCTTGGATGAGATGACTCATTTTAAACCCGTGTTCCAATGTCAAGTTTTTACAGTGAACGCTGCTG